TTGATGTCGATGTTTGAGTTGATCCTTTTCTACTTTGGATATCATAACTAAGGATTCTGCTGAAGAGCCATTACATTTTGTGCAATTTTGTATACTCCCGGTAAGTGGAATGGGTTCATTTGAACATTGGCTCCTCAGAAATTGGCCAAAACTTGGTTGCTTCTCTTTAGAATTGGGTTGACTGAAATGGGGAAAGAACTGAGGAGTGACGGTAGCGTAAGTGGGACAAGAAGCCGTAGGAGGGTCAGGTGAAACTGATGCGGATGAACAGGAGCACGAGTGGAGTAATGAGCTATTAGAGCTGGATTTACTGATGTTAATATCATAGAAGGAACAGGGAGAGGAGGATGGAGAGGATGAGAGATAAGAGCATAGGGACTCAGAGAGAGAGGTTGGTGAATGTGTAGTTGTTAAAGGTGAGGAGAAGGATGGTGTGGTTGACGAAGCAACTGAGCTTTTTGAGTCGAGTCTAGTAAAGTGAGAGTAAACTGCTGGTTTTTTTTGGCAGGAACAGCTTTTAAATTGCGTAAACGGTAACGGATATGAGACATCGTGCGTGGAAGGTCTTGGACTGGAGGACAACACATGAAGTGGCGATAGCTGAGGTTGGTGTTCTGTCGATTTATCTCCAGAAGATATGAAGGTTAAATGAGACAGAGTGTTATTAAAGGTGGCAGTTGCATTTGATTTGGGGTGATTGGTTGGGGAATTACAGTTGCCGAGTGGGAGAATTTCCACTCGGGCAGAGACAGATGATCTGAGCTGAGAGTTGCAGGTGTTCGTGGGATGAACGACAAGAGGACAAGGTGAAGATGCGATGAAATGGGAAGTGGAGGAGGAGGAAATGACTGGAAGAAAAGGGGGCAAGGAGGAATTGACGGAAGGGGAGAATGCTATCGAAGCTAATCTGGACACATGAGTGGACCATACTTGAGTCAAACGAGGCTGATGAGGCTGTTGCTGCCGGTGAAGACAGGCTTCGGCGGCCAAAGAAAGGCTTACCGGACTATGACTGGCGCGGATCTTCTCTTCAAGGACATCGATCTTGTTGATAAAAACTAGCACCGGAACATACTGGAGATATCTAAGGAGATGGTTTGCACAGAAGACACAGGCTTAGAGGAGAAATTAGGTCAAATATTAAC